CGGGGACACCGCGGGGACGGCGTGGGGACAGCGCGGGGACAGCGCGGGGACGTGGGGATGGCGTGGGGACAGCATGGGGACATGGTGGGAATGGGCCTTCCGCCACATGGGCACGCTCGCAGGTAGGGACGGCGTGGGGACAGCGTGGAGACAGCGTGGGGACACCATGGGGACAGCACAGGGACACCGTGGAGACAGCGTGGGACAGCGTGGGGACAGCGTGGGGACATGGGGACTGTGGGGACATGGTGGGGACACTGTGGGGACACTGCAGGGACATGGGCACTGTGGGGACACGGGGACAGCGTGGGGACATGGGGATAGGGTGGGGGCGCGGGCACAGCGTGGGGACATGGGGACACCATGGGGACACCGTGGGGACATGGGAACAGCATGGGGACACAGTGGGGACATGGGGACAGGGTGGGGACATGGGGGCAGCGTGGGGACACTGGGGGACACAGTGGGGACACAGGGCACCGTGGGGACACAGCGAGGACACCATGGGGCACCATGGGGACACGGGGGCACCGCAGGGGCACCATGGGGACATGGGGGACACCATGGGGATGCTGGCAGGGACACCATGGGGACACTGTGGGGACAGCATGGGGACAGCGTGGGGACAACGTGGGGACACCAGGGTGACACAGTGGGGACATTGGGACAGCATGGGGACATGGTGGGGACATGGGGGCACCATGGGGACATGGTGGGGACACAGGGGCGACATGGGGACACGGTGGGGACATGGGGACACCGTGGGGACACTGTGGGGACATGGGGACAGCGTGAGGACATGGGCACTGTGGGGACACGGTGGGGACACTGGGGTGACATGGCGGGGACACGGTGGGGACACCGAGGGACTCCGTGGGGACACGGCAGGGCTCTGTGGGGACACCACGGGACACCGTAACACAGGGCAGGGACACTGGGGCACCACGGGACACTGGTACTAGTGCCACCCCCTCAGGTGGGACCCTGGCACCGCCAGCACCTCCCCGGAGGCGGCACCCCCAGATGTGTCCCCAGGACCCCCACAGAGGTGCCACTCTTCCAGATGTGTCCCCCGCCCCGGGGATGGGTGCCACCCGCCACGGATGTGTCCCGGGACCCTGCATTGGTGCCACCCCTGGATGTGTCCCCGGCGCCCCGTGCCGGTGCCCGCCGGCGGTGCCCACCTGCCGTAGGTGCCCACGAGGTGCAGGAAGCTGCGGGGCAGCACGTAGCCGTGGCGCTGCGCCTCCGCCTGCGCCCGCTGCGCCCGCTGCGCCGCCGCCGCGTGCACCGCCGCGAACGCCTCGGCCACCGCGCGCCGCGCCTGCCACGGCACGCGGGCACCGTGGGTGAGGGGACACGGCACGGGGACACGGGCACCGCCGTGCCTGCCACGGGACACGGGCACTGCCGCTCATGGGTAGGGGGACACGGCATGGGGACACACGGGCACCACCGCTCCATGGGCACAGGGACACGGCACGGGGACACGGGACACCACCAGGCCATGGGCAAGGGGACACGGCACGGGGACATGTGGGCACAGGGACACACGTGCCCAGGGGCACAGGCAGAACAGGGGGACACGATGGGCACAGGCATCCACGCAGTGGAGGGACAAGGCACCCAGGGGGGACAGGGCACCCATCAGTGAGGGCACAGGGCACCCAGGTGGCCCAGGGGGCACCCAATCATAGGGGACAAGGATGGGACACCCACCAAGCAGAGCACAGGGCACCCGTGGGGGCTCCAGGGTGCCACCCCCTACATGGACATCTTTGGGTGTCTCCCACCCCAAGCGGGTCTCTAGGGTGGCCCCCACCACCCACGTGGGTGTCGCGGTGAGGGGGCACCCACCCTGGGGAGGTGTCTCGGGTGGCCCCCACCCCCCCATGTGGGTGCCTTGGTGAGGGGGCACCCACGCAAGGGAGGTGTCTAGGGTGGCCCCCACCACCCATGTGGGTGTCTAGGCGAGGGGGCACCCACCCTGGGGAGGGTGCGTGGGCACCCTGGGGTGGGGGTCTCACCTGGGGGTCGGGGCCCAGCTCGAGCCCCTCGAGCGCCGTGTGGGCCACCTCGAGCAGGGCGGAGTGGGGCCAGGGGCCCACCCAGTCGAGGGTGCTGCAGGCCAGCAGCGCCGGGAAGTCGCGCAGACGGGTGCTGCGGGCGCGCGGGTGAGCGTGGCACCCCCGGAGGGTCCCGGGGGGTCCCGGGGGGGTGCCGCTCACCGGAAGGCCTCTCCCGCCGGGCTCACGCACAGCAGCACCCGCAGGTCCCGGCGCAGCCTCTGCGCCAGCAGCGCCCGCAGCTCCGCGTCGGAGCCCGCGCCCGGCGCCGCCGCCCGCAGCTGCGGCTGCATCTGCGGGGACGTGGGGACACGGGGGGCGTCGGGGACGTCGGCGACATCGGGGACATCAGGGACATGGGGACGTCGGGGACATGGGGATGTGGGGACATCGGGGACGTTGGGATGTTGGGGACGTTGGGGACATCGGGGACATGGGAACATCAGGGACATCAGGGACATTGGGGACATCGGCGATGTCGGGGACATGGGGACATCGGGGATATGGGGACGTGGGGACATTGGGGACGTCGGGGACGTGGGGATGTGGAGATATGAGGGACGTGGGGATGTGGGGACATCAGGGATGTGGGGACATTGGGGACATTGGGGGTGTTGGGGACATCAGGGACATCGGGGACATGGGGATATCGGGGACGCTGGGGACGTTGGGGTCATCGGGGAAGTGGGAACATCAGGGACGTTGGGGACATCAGGGACAGGGGGACATCAGGGACGTGGGGACATCAGGGACGTGGGGACGTTGGGGACGTGAGGACATCGGGGACGTCGGGGACGTTGGGGACTTGGGGATGTCGGGGACGTTGGGGACGTTGGGGACATCGGGAACGTTGGGGACTTGGGGACATCGGGAACGTTGGGGACATCGGGGGGGATGCGTCGGGGGAGATGGGGGCAATGAGGGCTGAGTGGGGGAGCCCCGGGGGGGGCGCCGGGGACACTGTGGGGGCCCTTAGGGGGGAGCCTCGGGGGAAGGAGGAGCTGGGGTGAGATTTTGGGGACCCCATGTGGGGAGCAGGCAGCCCTTGGGGGACATGGGGGACCCCATAGGGGTACTGGGGAGCCCGTGAGGGACATTGGGGACCCCATGTGGGGAGCAGGGAGCCCTTGGGGGACATTGGGGACCCCATAGGGACATTGGGGAGCCCATGTGGGGAGAAGGCAGCCCTTGGGGGACATTGGGGACCCCTAGCTGGCAATGGGGACAGGGGGGTGGGGAGCAGGGAGCCTGTGGGTGAGAGTGGGGACCCCAATAGGGGCATTCGGGCCCCGGGGGCTGGCTGGGGACCTTGGGGGGCGCCCAGGGGTGTCACCCACCTCGTGCCAGTGCGGGGGGGCACAGAGCGCGGGCGCCTCCCCCGTGGCCATGAGCCCCTGCAGGTCCTCCAGCAGCGGGGGGGGCAGCTGGTGGTCCGCGAGGAGCAGGGCCAGGGGGCCCCCCCCGGCCCCCACCTCCACCACCAGCTCCCGCAGGTCTTGGGGGGGGCAAAGGGGCGGGGTCAGCGCGGCCACGCCCCCTGCCTGACCCTCCCACCGGCCCCCTCCCCAAAGGCAGAACCACCTGAAAAGGGGCCAGAGAAGGAAGCCCCGCCCAGTGGGAGGGGCCTTGGGAAAAAGGTGGGGCTAAATACGAGGAGCTGCTGGGCGGGGCTGGCCACAAGAGGCGGGGCAGGTATAAAAAGGGGGCGGGGCCTTGGCAGGAGAAGGAGGAGCCAGAGCGGGAAGGGGAGGGTCTTGCCATAGAGGGAGGGGCCGATGGGGAGCGCGGCCGGGGGGCGGGGCATAGGGGAGTCACTCAAAGGGAGGGGCGGGGCTGAGCGGTGGAGGGGGCGGGACCGGATCAGGAGGTGTGGCCAGACAGAGGGGCGTGTCCAGTGGCTGGGAGGGGCGTGGCCGGAGGAGGGAGGTGCGGCCAGGCGGAGGAAGAGGGCGTGGTCGGGGGCGTGGTCAATCAGAGGGAGGCGGGCCGCGGCACAGGGGGCGTGTCCGGCCGCAGGGGGGCGTGTCACTCACATGCCTGGAGGCGGGTCCCGCTGGGCGGCGGGGGCGGGGCCAGGCGCAGCCGGCAGAGCTCCGCCCCCAGGCGGGCCAGGCTGCGGCGCCCGCTGCCCCCCGCGCCCAGCAGCAGCACGTGACCGCCGGGCTGCCCCGCGGCGCGCGCCACGCGGGACACTGCGGGGACACGGGGGGGGGAGGGTCAGCCCTGCCGCCCCCACGGGGGACCCGGGGGGGGTCAGCCCTGCCGCCCCCACGGGGGACACAGGGGGGGGGTCATCCCCTGCCACCCCCACGGGGGACACTGCGGGGACACGGGGGGGGGCTCAGCCCTGCCGCTCCCACGGGGGACACGGGGGGGTTCACCCCTTTGCCACCCCCACGGGGGACACTGCGGGGACACGGGGGGGGTCACCCCTTTGCCAACCCCACGGGGGACACGGGGGGGGGTCAGCCCTACCACCCCCACGGGGGACACGGGGGGTGGGTCACCCCTTTGCCACCCCCACGGGGGACACTGCGGGGACACGGGGGGTGGGTCAGCCCTGCCGCCCCCACGGGGGACACTGCGGGGACACGGGGGGGGTCAGCCCTGCCGCCCCACTGGGGACACGGGGGGGGTCAGCCCTGCCACCCCCACGGGGGACACGGGGGAGGTCACCCCCCTGCCACCCCCAATGGGGGACACTGTCAGGGTCCCCCCACTGTCACCCCCATGCGGGATGCTGCAGGAACCCACGGCAGGGCCCCCCGCCCCTCCCCCAGTGGAGGACACTGCGGGGACACGTTAGGGACACGGGGGACCTGCGTGGGGGGGGGGATGGTGACAGGGCCCCCCCGGGTGCCCCCCGGCTGCTCACTGTGCTCGATGGCCTCGCGGAAGAGCAGCAGGTCGAGGGGGGGGCTGCGGCGCGGGGCCCCCCCGGGTGGGCGCAGCAGCCGCTGCAGCTCGGCGCGCAGCGCGCCCGCCTCGCCCAGGTCCTCGTAGACCCCCCGCGCGCTCAGGAAGTCCCCTGCGGCCCCCAGACCCCCGTGTCACCCCCAGGCCCTCTGCAGCCCCCC